TTTACATGTACTTCATTTAAATACATTTTGTTGATATACATATTTTTTTTATTTTTCATAATAGAAGACCCACTAAAAACGAAATTAAGCTACGTTCACAATGGCAGAGTACTCCACTATGGAGTGAATTAAAACGAGATAGTCAAATTTAAAAATATTGTTGATAAAAAGAAACCAGAAATACAATTTGCTGGAGTACTCTACGTAGCTTTAGGATTTCTTTTGCTCAGTATGTTTAATATACAAAATAATTATTGTATCCTTTTTATATATTATTAGCTTACCCATTCCCATCTACATTTTTTTAGCTGTTATAGTTATGTATATTCCCAGATTTACGACTTTTAGTATTTATTATATAGGGGAGAAGCCACACTCACTCTTTCTAGTCGACTTATTCTTAAACCTAATGTTCATATTGATTCTAATGCAACTTGTGTTATAGTTGAGGTCTCCTACCTGTTGTTGTAGTTCACATGGATGTCGAAGTTGTTCTTGCAAAATTTGAGAATGCTATCTCTAATAGATTCTCAGATATACGAATCATTGTACTTAATTCGTATGAGGGTATTAGGCCCCCTATTGCTAATCCGCTAATTTATTACACTTATGTTCACATGGATGTCCAAGTTGTTCTAGCACTAATAGCTTCCCAGATATACAAATTGTTGTACTTTATTCATATGTTGGTGTCACACCCCCTGTTTAAGTACAAATCGATTATTTGCGGTATTTTTCCTCTAAGTGTAAATCCTAATGATTTACTACTTTAGTTTACATCTTTGATGGAAAACTATTACTAATTCAACGAGTAAACCGCTAACTGTATTTAAACTTTGTTAGCCTCCATACTTGGAAATAAGTAGTTGTTTATCACTCGTCATATAGAAGCCTTAAAGAGCACTTCTTGTTGTGCATACATGCTTAAGGTAATATATAAATAAAGGAAGACAAATCTTCTCCTTTTATAAAACTAATAATTCTTTGTGTTTTATTCTTTTTGTGCATTTACACTGAACCATATCGGATTGACTCCGAAACATTGGTCGCTTTGAACCGAATAATTACATGCTCTTTTCGAACCGAGCATAAAACACTAAGAAGGACATACTCCAACGTATGAAAGGAAGACTCCTTGCCAAGGAATTAATAAGCGCCCTTTTGTTGGAAATTTGTTTAATCCTTAATTTAAATAAGGTTAGTAAATTGATATAAAAGTGATTGTGTCAAAAGGAAAAGTACATAAACATACATATGGATGTATATACGTGTGTATGTTATAAAGAAATAAACAGAAGAAAACAACAAGTGTCTATTGTCGAAAAAGGGAATTAATTTTACTGCCAATAATTTATTGTGAATTAATTTTAATCCCTATTTAATACATCCTTGCGCGATTATATTTTATACAGTACCTGTTGACAGATAGTGATCGGTACTTTTATAATCATTTATGCATTTTTTCGGCAAATACTTAAATAAATAAATTATTTTCAATAATTAAATTTTATGAAAATTATTTTGATGTAAATTTTCTAGTGAAACACATAGTGATCAAAATATTTAGTGACTGCATTTAATGCAAGGTTTGTTCACACAAATTTAATATTAGTAATTGTGTTGTGAAAGATAAAATTCTTCTTCTTCCTCCTTTTACTAATTTATTGTTAGTTACCCTACGGTCGGTCGATTTGACTTAAAATAGTTAGTTTAGAAATTTATAATACAAATTAGATTTTTTGTGAATTTGAACTCTGCTTCCATTTTTATACTGTTTTACTGAATTAATCCTATCTTAAAATTGTGAAAAATGCCTTTGACAGCCCTTGAACGTTTCACTCGTGCTTCAGACGCCGTTATAAAATTTGAGGCAAACTTTAATAATATACGCGAAGAAGAACATCACGTGTACTACTTCGAAGTTTTAGAAAGTGAATTGAAGATGTGTTGGGAAAAGGTGAAAATTACTTTCGATAAGTGTTTAGACGATCTTGAATCTTCTGAAGACGCTGAGCCAGAAGATATTCAAGTGGCTGAAAGTAAATTCCAGAGTACCCTTAATGTTTATGCGCGATGTTCAAAGTCGATAAAAATTAAGATTGATGAATTGGAAGCAAAGACTAAGCCTAAAGTTTCCCCTCATCCAAACAATGATTCAAATTTTGATAATGTTAGTCATAATCTACCTCTTCCGCCATGTGATACGGACATCTTCAACGGCGATTATCTCTCATGGCCTACATTTAGGGATCTTTTCACTGCTTTATATATTAATAACAGTCGGCTTAGTAATATCGAGCGATTATGTTATTTAGTGAAAAGAACAGATAACGAAGCGAGAGAAATTCTATCTAAATGTCCGTTGACTATTGCTGGGTTTGATATAGGGTGGAAAAGTTTAAAAGATACATACGAAAATCCTCGAATGCTAGTTAATAATCAACTAAAGTGCTTGTTTGGTTTGGAGACAATAACAGAGGAGAATAGTTCCTCATTGAAAAGGTTACAGCGCGGAATAAATGGATTTTTAACCGCTATGTCGATATATGAGATTCCCACTCAAAATTGGGATCCAATTATCGTTTTTATTTGCATACAAAGACTGCCCTCTCAGACAGTGACACTATGGGAACAAAGTGTTACGGACAAAACTGGCTTATCTTTATGGAAAGATTTGGACATGTTTTTGACCGAAAGAATCCAAACGTTAGATTGCATACGCGATCTTATGAGTTCCAACACTGATAAGAAAGATATTGAACGCAAGGAAAAGACACATGTTTCGAATACAGGTCCTACGAATGCTTGTGTTTTATGTAAAAACCCGGGTCATTTACTTCGTTTTTGCCGTCAGTTTGATAGAATGTCTATTCCTGAGAGATTTAGAACGGTTAAAAAATGTCATTGCTGTATTAACTGTCTAGTTAACTCACATGAAGTTAATTATTGTTTAAGTGAACATCGTTGTTCTATTTGTAATAAGCGGCACCATACTTCACTACATCGGGATTCTTCAGCTTCGCAAAACTCTAGAAATGCACTTCCTGAGTCATTAGATGACAACTCTTCTTTAGTTTTACGACCATACAATCACACTCCTAATGACCAACGACCTACTAACACGTCAACTGCATTAGTAGAAAGACCGACTACGTCAGGCACTATAGTTGAACGACAAGTATTTCATACTAGTCAAAATTATTCTACTCCTTTGGGTACAGTGACTAGCAATGTACCTCCTACTTCATTAGATGATAATTCTAGTGTGGTTCTACGACCCACTAATCCAACTCCTAATGACCATCTGCCCACTTTGTCAGGTACAACAGCTGGAAGACATTCCGTTACTGAACGACAAGTATTCCATATTCGTAGGAATCATTCTGTTCTATTGGGTACAGCAACTGTCGACTTGATACACAATGGATGTAGATATCAAGTTAGAGCTTTAATTGACACTGCTTCAGAATGTACTATTATTTCTGAAGAGTTGAGGAAAAGATTCAAAATTCCAACCATTTCCGAAGCAGCGAAGTTTTCGGGCGTAAATGAGGAATTTTCGGCCATTTCGACGAAGACTTGTAATTTGATAATAGGTTTTAGTACTGATTCGTCATTTTTATTAAATACTTCTGCTTCTATTTTGCCAAGCATTTCGGGAAATTTGCCTTCGGTATCGGTCAATGCCGACAAATTACCAAATCTTCATTTGGCAGATTCAAATCCTTTCGGAAGCAGACCTGTAGAAATATTATTAGGAGCTGATGTATATCCCCAGCTTATTTTACCCGGAATTAAGAAAAAGGTACTCGGATCATTATTGGCTCAAAAAACCGTATTTGGTTGGATATTAACCGGTCCTGTAAATAGTATTAATTCATCTCCTACGAAGGAAAGATATAGACCAACTAAAAATAGCTACATTCCAACATGGAATCGTAATGAACCCAAATGATGTAGGAACTAGTTAGTTTATCAATCTGTAATAGAACCGCTACTAATTAAAATGTTTGTAAATCATTATTTTTTCATTTCGTCTACGACAAGGCACTACGTGCAAAATTCGAGATTTACGTCTATCCCTAACGCTGTATTAATAGAATCGTAAAAGATGGAAAGAAGAATTTTTAAGTAATTTTACTATTGATCGCTTTGTATGGCAGACTTGTTGTTTTGAATTCCTAAATGATCACTACATATATATCAATTTACTTTACTAACCTTTCCCTAAATTCTTTTTAATTCAGCAAGAGTCCTTAGTGATTCAACCGGAGTCTCATCATGGCTCAACCAGAGTCTCATTATGGCTCAACCAGAGTCTCATCATGGCTCAAACGGGTCCATAAAATTTCATTTTAATTTGAAAAAAAACAGTCCACGACTGTCCTTAATGACTCGTCATTTATTTAGTTACAACACCTTAAGTGTTGCAAGGGGGCCGGCAATGTTTAAGTACAAATCGATTATTTGCGGTATTTTTCCTCTAAGTGTAAATCCTAATGATTTACTACTTTAGTTTACATCTTTGATGGAAAACTATTACTAATTCAACTGTATTTAAACTTTGTTAGCCTCCATACTTGGAAATAAGTAGTTGTTTATCACTCGTCATATAGAAGCCTTAAAGAGCACTTCTTGTTGTGCATACATGCTTAAGGGATAAATCTGAAAAGAGGATCCATAATTCTGAATTAATGTGCAGTAAATTCCAAATATATAGACGTGATAGAATAGGAAAGGAAGGTGGCGGAGTTTTGATTGCAGTCTCAACCCTTTTTCCTTCAGAAGAAATAATCCTTAACGATGTACAAGACATTGAATTTATCGCTACTTGTGTTAAAACTAAATTTAAAAATATATTTATCACTTGTTCGTACATTCCACCTGCGTCAAGTCTCCACATATACGTACTTCATTCCACAGCAATAAAGCTCGTTGCAAATCTATCCAAGCCTGGTGATATGATAATTGTTCTAGGAGATTTTAATATTCCAGATATAATGTGGTGTAAAACTCCAGATTCAAGTTTTTTAAGTCCATCTATAAGCTCTGAATCAAATCTTGACCTATTAGATTCCATTGCAGATTTGGCACTTTTTCAAATAAATGACATACCGAATATTTTAGGAAAACTGCTCGATTTGGTGTTTGTCGATCAACCTGATGAATACAGTATACAACGTATTAATCCACTGCTGATACCAGAAGATTTTTATCACCCAACACTTGAAATCACTGCATCCATTAAATTGCATTTGCCTGCAAAACCTGACTTAAATAACAAAAAAGTCTTTGATTTTAAAAAAGCAGATTATTTCAAATTGAATTTCCTACTCTCAACTGAAAAGTTATTTGAATATCATCCATATAGTATTTTAAATCCACATAACTTTGATTTAATTCTTAATCAATTTTATGATGGCTTATTTAAATGCTTTAAAGCATCTATTCCTATGGTAAAAAGAACAATTCATAATGGCCCACCCTGGAACACAAAACAACTTTCAAGCCTGAAAAATATGGAAAACAAACATTATAAGAAATATAAGAAATCTGGTCTACCTACTGACTACGCTAGATATTCAATATCCAGATCAGCATACAACTTGGCTCACACACAATGTTACAATAACTATATTCTTAAAGTAAAGGCAAATTTCAAAAGTAATCCGAAATCCTTCTATCAGTTTGTCAATACAAAACGTCGTATTTCTGGATATCCGTCAATGATGAAACTTGATGACATGGAATCCTCAAAAGATTCGGAGATTTGTGACATGTTTGCTGATTTCTTTTCCTCCTCGTATTCCAACAAGTGCCTAAATCAATTATCCAGTTATCCATATCCAATTGTTGAGTCGAATCAAATCAATTGTCCAAAATTACATTCATCCACTGTATTGAAAGCTATACAAAAGTTAAAATATTCGGATAAATGTGGTCCCGACGGTGTACCTAGTTGTATACTTCGAAACTGTTTACACCAACTTGTTCTGCCGTTAACATATCTATTTAATGCATCACTTTCTATTGGTTATTTTCCTGATTCTTGGAAAAAATCATACATTATTCCTTTGTTCAAATCGGGTGTCAGATCCAACATTCTTAATTATAGAGGTATAGCTAAATTGAGTGTTATACCTAAACTCTTTGAGAAGATTGTCACTGAAACCCTATCACACCAAGCTGCGACAGTCCTATCTCCATTCCAGCACGGATTAAGAAAAGGATTTTCTACTACCACTAATCTACTGGAATTTAAAAACTGATACTATTTATACGGATTTCAGTAAAGCATTCGATAAAGTTAATCTGAGCTTCTAATTTATAAGATTTCAACATATCTTAAAAATAGATATCAATGTGTATTGTTCAGAAACTGTACATCGAAAACTATCCAAGTTATATCTGGAGTCCCACAAGGTAGCCATCTTGGTCCAATATTATTCCTAATATTTATTAATGATCTTCCTTCTTGCATTAATAATTCCAAAATATTAATGTACGCCGATGACGTTAAGCTATTCCTAAGCTTAAATCACTCCAATCAATGTTCCTTACTTCAAACAGATCTTGAAAATTTCAGCAAATGGTGCGATAATAATTTAATGGATCTGAATTTAAAAAAGTGTAAGCAAATGACATTCTACAGACGAAGTCCAGTACTCTGTAGATATTCGATTTATGGGTATCATCTTGATAAAGTTGATGTTTTTCTTGATCTAGGCGTACTACTTGATGACAAATTGAATTTCAATTCTCATATTTCGCAAATTATTAATAAAGCTAAAGGCGTGTTTGGTTTCATCAAACGCTGGGGAAAAGAATTTGACGATCCTTATGTCATAAAGCAATTGTTCACATCTCTTGTGAGACCAATTTTGGAATATGCGTCTGTTGTTTGGGATCCACAATACGAAATCTATATAAAGAGAATTGAATCCGTCCAAAAACAATTTCTTTTATTTTGTCTCCGCAATCTACCTTGGAATCCTAATATTAATCTTCCATCATATAAAAGTCGACTGGCACTTATTCTAAAAAGTAGAAGAATATGCTTGAACATTTCATTCATTGTTAATTTATTGAATGGTATAACAAATTCGGAACTCCTACTTCGAAAAATCGAATTCATAATTCCAAATCGTCCAACAAGAAATTATATTCCTCTGAAAATCCAATATTTCCGTACAAACTATGCCAACTTTGACCCGATGCGAAGAATGTGTGTTGAATTTAATAATCTGTATGATTTTATTGACTTTTCGACTAATCCTAGTGTCATATAAAGGAGTATCCTGCAGTGTTTAAACCAATAGCTAAATTTGGATTTCCAGTTATATTATTTAATTTGTAATAATAGAATATATAAAACTTAATTGTGATGTATAAAACATGCTAGCCTGTAAGAAATTGTAATTTCATTGGCGAACTAAAATAAATAAATAAATAAAAAAGGTAATATATAAATAAAGGAAGACAAATCTTCTCCTTTTATAAAACTAATAATTCGTTGTGTTTTATTCTTTTTGTGCATTTACACTGAACCATATCGGATTGACGCCGAAACACCGCCTATTACTGGTCCGCCGATGTAAAAGTTGTTCTTGCTAAATTTGATGATTCTATCTCTATAGATTCTGATATACGAATTTTTGTACTTAATTCATATGGGGGGTGTCACGCCCCCTATTACTAATCAGCCAATTTATTACACTAATGTTCACATAGTTGTCAAAATTGTTCTTACAAGCTTTGAGGATTCTAACTCTAAAAGTTTCCCTATTGCTAATCCGCCAATTTACACAAAATTTGAGGACTAAAACTTATATATGTTCACAGAAATACTATACAATATTTTCTCTACATATGAAGTGCCACGCCCAATGTACCCACTCCGCCCACAGGTGTTCATATGGATGTCAAAGTTGTCCATACAAAATTATAGGACTCTAGCTGTAGAAGTTTCTAAAATAAACTACTTTTAATACTTATTTGGGCGTAGTATTTTGCCTACTTGAAATATCAAAATAAAAAGTGTCCTATAGTTCCTCCCAGACATTTACAAAAACACTGTGAACATTTTAAAAAAATCCGTTCAGCCGTTTAGGAGTCTATAGACTTTAAACAAAGTCACAAACAAATAAACACACATTCATTGTTATATATGTATATAGATAGATAGATTTTAATTGTTGTTGTATTTGAAAAATACCCGTTACCCATATTGTTCATCCAGAACACAAATTTACTTTCTATTGGCCAATGAACCGCACAACGCATTACATGGAAAAATCATTCTTCTGCAGTACCGTTCGTATGCAAAATAAATTTCCTCCTTTAAATCAAATGTCCAAAAACACTACTCCCTCTATCCTTCTTCCCACTACCTATTATTCTAGATCAGGCGCGGATCCACGGGGGGAATATCCCTCCCCCCAAACACGAAAATTTTTAATACAAAATTGAAAAAGTAGGAAAAAAAGAAAAAAAAAATAAAGAAAAAAGGAAATTGAAAAACGAAAATAGGAAAAAGAAAAAAGAAATTTACATTTTTAAATTGTTAATGCTTTTGGAAAATCAAAATAAAAAGTATTGAAAACTGCAGCAAGATTTAATAATTTGTCGAAAACATATGCAAAACTGTAGATTTATATCTGCCATTATATTTTGAACATTTATAGAACAGTAAATAGAAAACTTTCGATGAAATTAAGGGAGAATCGGACAAAACCATAACGAGTTTTCCACAGAAAAAAATAAATTTTATTTTGTTTGTTTCAATAGATTTTATAAAATTAAAATAAATAAAAATTTGATGCAAAAATTTTAATTTCCCTAAAATAGTTTTTACTAAGATAAATTGTTTATGTATTGTATTTTTATTAAAAATCCTCAAAGTTCATAAAGAATATTGTCGAAATCCTCTATAGTAGTCGTTACGTATATTGTCTGGAGAAAATAAAAGATGTCGATTTTCCTTGCTGAAATTCGAAGATACCGTTTTTAACAAATTTTTTGCTTTACATTCGAAATTACATTATTGTTGTGTATTCTTCACAAGTACTTTATTTTACTGAATTCCAATTTACATTATGCTTCTAAAACTACTTGTTACAAAATATTTTAAGAAAAGAATTTAAGTACCGTTATAAAGTAAAACAGGTTTATGTTCTTGTGTTAATACAAGTATGAACCTTAAAGTAACTTTTAACGATACTTATAACAATTATAATACAGGATGTTTCAAATACATATATTTTATATTATTATTTAAACATATGGTTTATTACATTACACTTCTTCCCCTTCTTAGATTTTGAGTTATGTATTAATATTATAAAGTTATGTATATACAAGTATAATATACATATGTTTTTTCTTTTTTTTTTTTTTTTTAATTTACAATTTATAGTTTATATGTTCTTTTTTTCTTAATCTATCTTTTAACGGTAATTCTTTTTCAACAATATTATCTTCGACTTCCATATTTTGAACATCAAAAAATTCGTCTTCACTACTCTCATGACAGAGTACCGAATTTTTCGGAGATAATATTATATCTTTTTGAACTCTTTTTAATTGGTTTCTATGTGCTACTCTTCTTCGCTTATTAACTTCAATTAAATATAGAGTTTCACAAATTTTTTTGCAAATGATTCCTTTGACCCATTTTGCGTCACTATTTTGATCAGGATTCAAATACAAAATTTTTTCACCAATCTTTAAATTGAAGTTCAAAACTTTTTTGCTTTTTTGAAAACTATTTTTTTCCATGATTTTTTGTTTTTTGTAATTTGTGGTGTTTACTTTTGTATTTGCATCCTTATTTTTTAACTCAATATGTGATAATAATGTTATTGGTTTATACGCTAAAACGAATTCACTTGGACAAATACCTGTGACAGTGGATGGGGTGTTGCGATATTTAAAAAAAAAATTTAATACGACGTTTTGGATAGATTGTTTTTTAACCTTGTTGGACAGAAAATACGACTTCAAACTACGTTTAACCGTTTGAACACCTCTTTCTGCCAAACCATTACTGGGAGGATGATAAGCAGGACTAAATAACTGATTTATTCCATTTGATTTTAAAAATATTAAAAATTCTTCACTTCGGAATTGAGGTCCATTATCGCTTACAAGGGTGGAGCAAAAACCAAAATTGGAAAACAACCATTTTAATTTTTCAACTACAAACATTGTTGAGGTTTTTTGTAATATTTGTACATCGATCCATTTTGAATAATCATCAACTACAATTAAAAATTCATAATTTTGGAATTGAAACAAATCCACATGAATACGTTCAAATGGATACGAAGTAGGGGGCCACGTAAAATTTGGGCAATCTTTAGTCTTATTTTGGGTTTTCTGACACGATGGACATTGCGAAACATACGCCTCAATATTTTTATCGATTAAAGGCCACCAAATGGAAGCACGAGCTAACAACTTCATACGGACGACGCCTACATGTGTTTCGTGTAATAAAGATAGAAATGTATCTCTTAAAATTGTGGGTATAATTAAACGGTCTGCATAAAATAGACACTTTTCCTTGACCTCTAAAGAAATTTTTATATTCTTATATGGTATTAATAAATAGTCTGTTTTTGCCTCTTTCGGCCAACTATTTTTCTCAACAAATTCCATAACCTTCCGAATTATCGGATCTTTTTCTGAATATTTTACAATATCCGCTAGCGAAATTGGTGCTTTATTCTCAAAGTTAAAAAAATTTATATTGAAATTGTTTACATTAGTTTCACCTTCTTGAGGAAGACGTGATAAAGCGTCAACATTTTTTTGTTTTGAACCAGGGCGATATTTTATTTTACAATTATAGTTCGACAAAAATAAGATCCATCTATGAAATCGTACAGATACTATATTAGCCAAAGCCTTTTGATCACCAAGAAGTTTTTCAAGAGGTTGGTGGTCGGTATATACTGTGAACGAATAACCAAAAACGAATTTATGAAATTTGCGAATTGCAAAAACCACCGCTAAGGCTTCTCTGTGAATTTGAGAATAATTTTTCTCAGCTTTACTTAAAGTTGATGAAACCATATAGCACGGCCTCTCTTGACCATCTACTACCACACTAAGAATAGCACCAACACCATATGGAGACGCATCACACGCAATTACTATTGGCTTATTTGGATCAAAATGAACTAATAAGTTATTATTACATAATAACTTTTTGCAGTTTTGAAAAGCAACGGTACACTCATCATTCCAATACCATTTTTCGTCTTTA